AGAGAGAGAGAGAGAGAGAGAGAGAGTCGTAGACGACTTAAAATTTAATAATATTTTTAGAATTAATTAGTGAAGTTTTTTGCATTAGTGAAAGAAATTAAATTTTTTAAATTAAAAATTTAATGATACTATTAAATCTTGAAAAGATAAGAGTGTATACATTTGTTATGATTTCATAGACCTGTTTTTACTAATATTACAATTTTAATAATAAAGTAAATTCAACAAAATTGGCGTAAATTATATCCTAAAATGCATATTCTGTTTCATACCATTATTTCGTTGTTCTTATCTCGATCATGAGAATGTTTATCGGATATTAGCAAAACTTCTAAACCGTTTGATAATCGGATGGCTCTATAAATTTCAAAGACAAAACAAACAGTATTAATAAAATAAGAAAGTACACAGAGAGAAAGATTTCTATGGATTTAATAAAATGTATTGTATCCAAATAAATTTATTATTTGGAACAGTCCAAACAAATCAATATTTAAATCAATAAATAAGATTGTTTTAATTTGAAGCAATGTTATATTTTCGTCTTAAATATATTTTTATACTTAGCAATTTTTATTTTTAAAATTATTAATATGAATATATATTTATTTTATTGTATTAATTAAATATTTATTTTTAAATTAATAATTGTTTTATTTCAATAATCTATTTCTTTTTTTGAGCAATTGTATTTATTACCAAATAATAAATTATTAATATTTTCCAATTTTCCAATATATTTTGCTGTTTCCATATAAATAAATAATTTTTTCATTGTTTGTATTCATTGTAAGCAAATAATATATGATCGAAAGATATTATTTCAAATAATAATGTTATTTCTGTCAAACAATAGAGCTTTCTCTCACGAATAAAACAATCAAATTTTTATTTAAACAGGTAATGTTTCGTACAAACATATGTTGCTTTAATGAAACAATTTTCAGTCATAAATAAAGAGAAATACTAAATCTAAAGAAACCTTTTCCTCTATGTAATGAGAAATGTGTGCATATATGATTGTTTCAAAAAAATTAATCACGATTATTAATAAAAAAATTCATTGTAGCGTTTCTTCTAAAATTATATTTTCACACTATTTCTCTCACGTTTATTTTAATCGAAACAAGCACATGTATAATATTTTATAAGCACTGAGAATAATATTTTCTTTAACTTACCTATATTCTTTTTTGTCATTTTCCGATTTGATGGGTGTTTCCAGGTATTCGACTTGATATTTCCAATTCATATTGCCTCCAGTCGTATGCTTTATCTTTTGCATTATATCAAGACACGAGAAAATCAGAATGAAAATTATAAGGCGAACTTGTACATAGCAAATTTGTGAGATGTTTTACAAGCGACAGACGGTGTAAAACTGTGACTAACAGAAAATTCGACTGGCTTTTAAGCTGAAATCTCAAATCCTTTAATTTAGGGTCGTGTAGGTTGACAGTTTTTTCAAATAGTTCTGAGCATTTGTACGATTTTTCAGAGTCATGTAGATGGGACAGTCATTAAGTTTAAATTTTCTAGTCGTTGTAAGTTTGGATATTCTTTCTTTTTTGTCCTGAAACTACGTTTTACACAAAATCATAATAAATTTTGTAACTGCGTGTGTTAGCTGTTTTATTATTAAAATAATATAAACTGGATAAAAAATATGTTTTGGTTGTTGTGAAAAAAAGATAATAAAAAGTTAAATTAAGAAAAACGATATACTTGTTGTATTATTTACTAAAATTTATAAATATATATATAAATAAATTGTTAACAATCTTGCGACTTATTTTTAACATTGGAAATGACCTAATAGAGGTCGAAACGTATGTTTTTAATTTTTATTAAATTTTATATATATTTTTAACTAATGACTTTCTTTATTTACTAACATTTTTATATATTAACGAATTTTTGGCTCGTAGCCCTGTTTTGTAATTATTTCTAAAATTTATAGTTAAAAGATGATATTTACATATGTACAGTATGGAATGTTTATTTAAAGTGAAAACGACGTTTTTTCAACAATTTTTTTTGCACATTAAAATACAATTTGATAATTTTTTATTACTATAGGTGTATACATACATTATTAAAGAACACAAAAATATTTTTTTTTTTTTTTTTTGGTGTTTTGGTCGTTTGAAGTTTGGCGAGATTGTTGGTGGCGTGCATAATATCTCGACAACGCAGCATCTGAAAGCAAAAAATCTAATATTCTCTTAAAGAGGAGATCTGTGGCTATCGCGTGAACCTCCAACTTTTCATTCCGATTTAAAAAAACAAAATGGCGGACTTTTGAAAATTTTTCGCAATTTTTTTCTTACTAAATTGTTTAAAAATAGGGTTAAATATTAACGAAAAAATTCATCCGTGGTTCATGCGAAAGCTACATATGTGGGCAATAATCCCTGCAAATTTCAGCCCGATCGGTCGAATAGTTTTTTCAAAATCGTGCACGCCAAGTCAAAAAACGTGGTTTCGAGAAAATCGACTTTGAAGTTTTTTTCCGCCAAAAGCACATTAAACGTTGATAAAAATCTTCTTACCCTTACTCAGCGATGCCTGGCCCATACACAATGCGAAAACTGAAATGTGGTATAACCGAAAGTAAACAAAAGAAAAGACCCCGGCGCGGCGCCGCTGCGAGCGGTACGTTTCACTGCCAGGTATACGCAGTGCGCGCCGACACAGTTCTATTGTTATGCTATTTCCACCATGTTTTCGACCGTTCCGGCCTAAATACCGATATGTACCGTGTTTCTAAGAGTATATAGAGTACGAAAATAATATTTTCAGAAAAACGATTTTTTTTTTTTAAATTGACTAGAACTACCCCCTTATTCGAAACTTACTTATAATATGAATGATGTTTTCTTACGTTTGGTATGTTGAATTACGAAATTTTTTTGAAACAATTGAAAGCTGAGCTGTGAATAAAAAGCAGGAATATCTAAAAACTTTCTCCTTTTTTTTCAAGAGTACAATATGTGTCTTTTATCTAGTTATTTATCTAATTTTCAAATATTAAATTCTTACACAGTACGCATACGTCAAATATTTGTATCGTCCGTTTTCGAGTCTAGTTCAAATGCTATACAACCTTTGTATGACAATACGAGTTTTGAAATAAGTCAGGTAATAAAACCTTTGGTAAGATCATAGAACTTATAAGTTCTATGGGTAAGACAGAGGATAAGACGGAAAAAAAAGGAAAGAGAAAGATTGAGAGATATGATTTATTAGAAACATTTTGTCGTTTAGAATTCAAATAAGGAACAAAAATTTCATCCTGAGCAAGTACTTTAATTTTTAATCAGCATTTTCCTTTATTATATTACAGTACGTTTTCTATCTAATTATGACGCATTTTCTTATGATATTTTGTTATTTTTCCTGTTTGTATCTTTCTTGTAAAAAAAGTGTTAATATGAAACATTAGCAATTCTCATTTTAATAAGAAAATTTCATTTTATTAACTTCAAATGTTCTAGCTACGTTGTGCAAATATATAATGGCTATAGTATAGCTATTATAGCAGTAATTGTTACATTAATAGCTGTTATTATAAAAGCTTATTGGAAAGAACATTGAAGTATAATAAACGTTTAAATTTAATTTATATTAAAAGTTATCCTAATTTGTTTATTGTATAGTTACTATGCAAGAGGAGTACGAGATTAAATTTAATCATTCAATTAATTCAATACATAAATAAGAACTTCATTATCATATCGTAAAACAATTTTTATGATTCTATTTTTTTTATTGTTATGTAAAGTATCACTTATTCTGCACTCTGAGTCAATTAATTCTTAGTTTGTGTTGGATAGATGTAAAATTTTTCCTTGCAATCTTCTACATTTGAAATATGAGTACTTTGAATATACATATATTGATTACCGTCAATTATAGGTTCTAAAATAGAAGACTGCACTTTGGTGTCAGTTCCTATAACATGTACATTCAATTTTCTGACATAAATTTCGTTCAATATGTACTTTGCAAACCATTCTCTTAGTTTGTCAGTTTTTATTCTGAATAGTGCAAATAGTTCCCTCTCGAGTCTGTCAAACATGTATTGATTTGTTATAATCTCTTTCCAGTTTCTATCAACTTCTTCTGCCAGATTCATATCAGCATGTTGATTGGATATTCTCATTCTTTCTTTAATAACATCTAACTCATCTTCTGAGTATCGATCCAAATGTTCTCCAAACCATTCCAGAAATTCCTCGATCGATTGGTCAATATCCTTGGATGTGTATTTATTTGCGTGTACGTGAACGGTAATCGAAAATTCTATAATTTCATTGTATTCCGTATATTTGCTTGAAACGTCGTCATATTGCAGATTCAGTAATAATTGTTTTTTTATTATTTTCTGGAAACACGTGTAAATGAATAAGTAGAACTTGCGAATAAAATTATTCGCAATAATCGAAAAAACCATGTTCTATAAAATATTTACCATAATTAGATTCATTATCACTAATGACTCAATTGACGTGTCATCGATTTGGTAAGTATTTATTACAATGGAAGTTGAATCAATTTTATTGACATTTTTCACCTTGCAATAATTAGTACCCAAGGGCATCTGAGTGACTTTAATCAGATTTCTCAAATTAGAGTGTAAAGGTTTACATTTAATTATTTCAACACACCGTTGTATAGTTCTTATCGCATCATCTGGCGTGATATTGCCTTGCACGTACCACTGAATGTACAGATAATTGATAAAACGTTTTGTAAAATCTTGGAATTCTTCAATACTAATATTTTGTAGAGCATTGTGCTTATCAATGTGTGTGTGATGAAATGATCTTAATATCCGTAATGACACATCTCTATAAAAAAAATTAAAATTATATTATTGTTATCTAATTTAGATAACAATAATATAATTTAAAAAAAAAATAATATTTATTTTATAGTATATTTTACAAAACTAATTCTTTATATATATATTTATAATAATATTTTATTATTAGTTTCTCTTATGTAAGAATTTCATAATATTATTGCAATTATTTAACAATAAATAGCCAGTACTCAGCGAGACTTCCAGGTTTAGAAATTATGTTTTTATAGATATCAAGTTGATCATATCTAACTAATTCGTATAATTTCTTCGTAATCAAGTTTGGATAGTCCTTTATGCAATTCACTATAATTGACAACAATAACTGCAATATAAATAAACTTGCAATAGATATATAATAAATATAATGTGTATTTCATAATTATATTTATGTCTTTGACACATGTTTTTTTTAAGCATCAAATATAATTTGAACGTATATTTACCTGCGGTATAGGTCCGAATATTTTAATGATAATTCCTCTGTCACTAAGACTGATATTATAATAGTATCCAGCATTTGAAGTTGAACATAGATCTTTCACCACTAGTAGTTTTAATATTTCACAGTACAATGACATGAGAGCCGCACTGAAATATTAAAAAGGGAAGTTTCTTAAAAATAAGGTACATAAAAAGATTATGGAAATCGTACTAATCATTCCAATTTAATAATTACTTTTATTTGGTCAGTAACACAACAATGTAGTATATATTATTACATTAATCATGCTACGTTACTTACTTCTCCGATGACTTATGTCCTAGAGAGGAAACAAGATGGAAATACATGTAGCATTTTGGCAAACAAAATTTGAGATCAGGACAATACCAAATATCCGATATACTATCACTGTACAATTTTATAGGATATTTTGAAAATTTTGCTGGCATTGATATTAAAGTACATTCAATAGGAAGCCATTCATTTTTCAATGGTAAGTGAAAATCTGACAATGGTTCAATGGATTTCCAGCATTTGTACCATTTCTGTGGTATCTCGATGTCTATATACGATGTATTCCTTCCTGACTCGATTTTATCTAGTACCAAATAATCATAATCGAAAATCATAATATTTGCGGTTTCTGGCACCAAATAATTTAAAAATTTATTTATTTCTTTCGAATCATATTCAAAAAAAACATTTCCAGTTATATAATCACGCGGTGGATACAAGTGCATGTTGCCACATAAAATTGTTGCATTATTCAATGGACAATGGTCGTCGTTATATCTAAAAAAAATCTCAAAATATAAGTAGTGTTTCTCACAAATATTTTGTACGATTTCAATTATTATCCTTTATATTTATGTTTATGTGTGTGTGCTAAAAATTAGTTTACCTAAAAGAATATTCTACAGCCATATTAATCTCGTCGTAAATTCTTTTCTGCGGACCTTCTTTTTTTAGCAAATTGATATAGGAGTATATCGCATCTAGAATCTCTTTGGTGTAACATTTTCCTTCTCTAGAGAGCTGTACAGAAATTATGAATAAGCTGTACATGGAAGTATTTTTACATTTACAAAAAAATGCATTTTTCGAACACGTAACGTTCCACATTTTCTTGCGTAGGTAACTGATTAGGGAACCTTGACCTTCATGCGAAATAATTGTACTGATATATTCACAAGCTTTACTTTTATATAAATCATTTTGTGAAGGCAAGACCCACATTATCACCATCTGCAAAAGTCAAATTTTATTGTATATATTTATATTTTTACGTAATATAAATGTAAATTGTTTCGATCTGGTCAAATTTTAATTACATACTCGTCTAAAAAACAGATAATCATTCACTTTATACATTTTTCGGAAAGCAGCAGTATCAAAAGGATCATATTTACGTTTTATAGAATCATCGAGAGGCAATATGCCACTTGGTATATTAACAAAACGTGCAGAATGTGTGACGTATTTTTCTAATGTATTCAGCGATAAACTTGCCTATAAAAAGATGTATTTTATAAATTTTAATTTTATTTTTTAAATAAATAAACTATATATAGTTAAAATAATTAATTGTTAGTAATAATTTTAATATAATATTATGTACTTATCAAATATAAACTTGGAGAGAAAAGGACACTAGGAGTCGGGCGCAGATATAACTTTACGCAAATACTAATATATTATATAACGATACGTTCTTTATTTATTTTTGAGCCTTCTTTAGAGACAATAATGCAATAACATGAATAAAAATAAAAATTGGATCAAGGGATATTTAATCACAGCGAGCTCCTCCATAAACAAGAAATCAAATCTGATGTTAATTCCATCTGCAATATTAACATTAGATTTGATTTCTTGGTTGTGGGGGAGCTCGCTATGATTAAATATCTCTTGATACTATTTTTACTTTTATTCATATTATTGCATTGTCACTAAAGAAGGCTAAAAAATGAGCCGAAACATGTAAGCACATTTATTATAATGAAGAACATTTTATTTGTTATATACTAGCATTTTCGTAAAGTTATCTGCGCCTAACTCCTAGTACCCTTTTCTCTTCAAGTTTGTATTTGATTTATACAGGAGTTTTGTTAAAATTATTATATATTAGAATTACTTGTATAACCAGTTTTATTCTGTGAGCACTGTAATAGCATTTCATGAACTTTTGAAGCTCTTCATATAGTTTTGTGTAATCCAAATTTTCCTGCATTTTTATGAAATAATCCTCAGTATTTTTATTGATTGGATGGTCAGTACGCGCGATGGAAGAAACAAATGGTGCAATACTTCTGTTCTTGGCAAAATTTAAGGCTTCCTGAAATTCTATACAAACATGATATTTAAAATTGCGACAACAGTACTATGAATATAATATACCTTCTTTTATGGTTTTTCGATTGCTCATAAATGCAACTTTCTCCGATAAAGGGTTAGCGAAAAATTTAGCAAAGTGAATAAGAACTGATAAGAAATGCTTCCCTTGGATATTAAAAGAGAATGATAGATTTTCGTATCCAATTGACCATTTTAAATCACCTCCATGTTTGTTAATATATTCTTCTAAATTATATTTCTGCAATTAAGATGATCATATTTAAACAATTTAATATACAATAAATCATTTTTATCAAATTTATGTATTATATTTTATTACTTTGCAATATTTTTTGTGTTCGCTAAAAATCATATAATCGAAGAAAAATGATATGCCTGGAAAATCCGGTGGATCGTTGAAACTTGCTGTTTTCATATTTAAGCAACACGCTGTCTATATTTAAAAAATATATTTACATACACATCACAAATTATATGCTGAATGTTAAATGGAGAAGTAAATACATTTAATGTAATGAGTCATAAACGATTTAAAATTATGAATAACACATTTCAAAATTAATTAGTAAACTTTTTTTGCAATTAGTAAAAGTATCAAATTTTTTAAATTAAAACTTTAATGATGCTATTAAATCTTGAAAAGATAGAAATGTATTTTGTGATTTTCAAAGCCTGTTTTTAATATATCACAATTTTAATGAATGGAAAAGTAATTATAAAAAAGTAAATTATAAAAATTTACGTATATCCTAAAATGTGTGTGTGGGTGTGTGTGTGTGTACCTATATTAAATTATTCTACTTTCATACCTCTTCTTCATCTCTTAAACCTTGATGTTGAAAAGAGCATCTATTTGAATATTCATCGGATATTAATAAAACTTCTAAACCGTTTGGTAATCTGATAACTCTAAATTTAAAAGACAAAGCGAACAGCGTCAATAAAGTGAGAAGATAATGAGAATGTTATACTCATTGATTATTTTCAAATAATTTAATCTATCTGTATTTATCAATAAAAGATGCATTGTAACGGTTTTTTAAAATGATTATTATCACAGTATTTCTTGCACCCCCATCTCAATCAAAATCGAACAAACTGTTGAATGGTATTTTCTTTCGTCTTACTTGTATTCCTTCTTGTCGGTCTCCGATTTGATGGGCGTTTCCAGATATTCAACTTGACAGCTCTTATTGTCTTCTTTTATATGCTCTACCTTTTGCATTATATCAAGTCAGGAGAAAATTGGAATAGAAATTATATGACGTTTGATATAATACGATCAAAAAAGTTCCAATATAATTTGTGTTTCAAACTTTGTTTCTAGTAGACGTAGCACGATTTTAATCCACACTCTAACCGATCCGCTTTCTTTTTCCGTTATGGCACTTGCCTTCGAACAAAGGTCAATACACGATTAACTTAATTATTGTAAGTAAAGGTCATAGATATTTACTTATTTGTATTATTCTCAGTTTTCCAAATAGCCAATTTGTGTCGCCTGTTTTTACATTCAATATTGTTTAAATCAATCTTAATATATCATAAATATCAATTACTAATTATAATTCTTACTGTAGCGTTTTGTCGTATTTTTAAAAAATGGATTATTGTTTATACTGTAAATTCATTTAACTAAGAAGGCTCCTTAATAAATGGGGATAAACATTTATAAAATAAGAACATGAAAATATTTGAAAAAATTTTTCAGATGGATGTGCTAAATATACGTGTATTTTCGTTTAAACGATAAAAGCGATCTCTACTTTTAAAACACGTATATTCGGAAAAACGTTTTTATATAATAAATAGACAGGGTTGGCAACGTTACCTCATAAAAATAACTCGTTATCATTACCGTTCTTTCTTTTTTTCTAAAAAATAACTCGTTTCTGTTACTCGTTATTGATTTGCAAAAGTAACTCTTTATTATTACAGTTACTCAAAATATAACATTACTTTTTTTCTTGACATTAACAGAATATATATATTATGTGAAAATTTTTTTGATAAATGTAAATAAAGATATTAAAATTCTATTTTTTTGTAGAGGAGAATAGAGCTAAAAAATGTATATATATATATATATATGTATATATATATATATATATATAATGTGTGTATATACACATTTTTAGCTCAATTTTTTTAAATTATATACACACAAATATACATTATTATTAATTATATACATAAGGGAGAATGTCCTAAATCAAACCGTGTTCCAAATCGGACCTTTTAATTTAAATAAATACGGTTAAGCAGATTTGCGTGCTATTTATAATGTAAAGCCCTTATGAAACACCGAACATGTGATAACAATTTGGCAGTATTCTATCATAATGTTCATAGAATAGACACAAATATGTATTTTCGGTTATCATGCGAAAATTTTTTTAAAAAAGATAATCCTTGTAAATCATTATTTAAAAGATGTTAAAAATTTGAACGGTAATTGATTTAAGATAATTAAAGAGTGTAGAATTAAAAAATAAGAGTTTTATGATTACTTTTGCGGTTTATTGTAAAATTTGTTTCAATAGTTTAAAAGAATCCGTGTCCAAATCGGACCTGTACAAAAACACTAAAAAGACGATCAAGCTAATTCATCGAAGAAAGAAGGTTCGCTACAACCTGGTTGTAGTACTGGTGATCGACCGATCAGATCTGGTCTAAGGAACACTAAATCAGTAAAATATCATGTGTCATTAAACTCAGATTGATGGAATTCTTTATTGATTTTAATTCTAATAATGTATTTTTATCTTTGAGTCTTAAATTGCTCGTTTTTACTCAATACTACCAAAAATTAATTAAAATATTTTAAAATTCTATCTAAAAGTCCATAAAAATAGGAGAGGTCCGATTTATAACTCATGGTTCCAAATTGGATCGGAAAATGCATTTTTACATTTTCCATTATAGTTCGATACATGTAAGAGATACATCAAAATGGTCTAAAGCAAAAATGAAGGAAATTAAATGATCTTTCCAATGGCACCATTTTTTTTTATGATCGGACTTTATTTACGTCTTATAGAGAACAAAAACTGCAAATATAGGTCCGATTTAAACCACTCTCTCCTGCAATATATAATATTATATATATGTATATATATGTATATATATGTATACATATACATACATATAAACATAAATCTTTACGGTATATTTAATAAAAAATTACAAAAAATAGAGTATATGTATATATATATGTATATATAATGATATGTGATATGACAGCATCTATTAAATTCTTGTTTTAGTGTACGCAATTAAAATGAAAATTATAATTTTTGCTCGTCTATCTGATTTTACGACATTGAACAGAAACGTCCTCTTCTCTTTAAAGGATTAATAATTCAGCATATTTAATTAAATCTTTCACTGTAATATAACTTAATCAATCTGTTAAAAATAAATTTTAATAGTTAAATATCTTAAAACTTTTTATTTTTGTTGTCCAAAATATTAAAAAAAGATAAAATGATACATCATGCGCATAATGTATGAAACGGAACGCAGCCTATACGTGTGAACTGTGAACACAATGTGAAAAACGACGTCGTGATTACGTGATTAAGAAAGCTAATCAGATCTATCCTTTTAACGTCGCATCTCTGTTTTCCATAACTCTAGTTACGACTGAAACTTTTACGTAGAAATAAAGTAACGACAAAAAGTAACTAGTGAAATCATTACCATTACCCCAAAAATGTAACGTTACCATGAACTCCAAAGAAAATGTAACGTCGTTACCTATTCGTTACGGAAAATAGTAACTTCTAACGATAACGACATTATAAATAATGCGTTACTTGCCAATCCTATAAATAGATATGCTAATTGTACGTATAAACGTGTTTTCTTTTAAACGTATAATAGCTAATATTATTTAGCATATAGATCAGTTCAAAAATTAAGAACCCCCGAAAAATCTCCTTTTCGTCTTGGCGAAAAAATTTTTTTTGCAGTCACTCTTTATGATTAATATAAATGTTTAATAATATAATTACAAATTGGTACATCATTGAGAAAAGGAAAAAACAGAAAAATGTCATGTATAATATTTATTTATAAATAAAAAAATATAAACCAAAACTCTTAATAAATATTATATTGATTTAAAATATTTACATTAATATTTACGTATTACTTTTTAATAATCATTAAACTTTTTTAGGAGTAAGTTCTTTTTCTTTTTTCTTATATAAACTCGCCAGCTGTCGCTAGAGAGATCATAACAGAAAGCCAAGAAATTGACTTAAAAATAGCCGAATTTATAAATTTCCTTCTTTTTCGAGAGTATGATTTTTAATCTTTTATTTTTTTTAATGGAATTTCTATATAACACGCACATGCACAAACAAAAGTAAAATTTTTGTATAAGGAGAAATTCTCCCTTCAATTTATAAGAAAATCTTGTCAACTATTGTGCACTCTTCGTAAAAGTATATTAATTTTAAATCGAATCAATTATTAGAAAACTTTTGATACGAAAGGGAAGAGAAGGGAGAGAGAAAAAGAGAGAAAATGATAGAAAGACATGTGCTTTATTGAAAACATTTTGTCATACATTTAAAATAAAAAACATGTAAGAAATGATCGAAGAAATCACATTTTGAGCAAGCATTTTATTTCCTAATCAGTATCCTTCTTTATTATTACAGTAGATGTTTTTGTCTAATTATTACGCAATTACTTATGTTTTTCTATTATATCTCTTTATAATTTTCTTTAAAAAAAAAACTGTTATTATGTAAAATTAACAATTGTCATTTTAGTGAGAAAAAATTACATTTTATTATAACTTCGAATATTCTAGTTTTTATTGCAAAGTGCAAAATAGTTTTATATAGCTTTATAATAATACATAGTTATTATAATACAAGTTATTATTATATCAGCTTATCAGAAAGAATATACAAGTATAATAAATGTAATAATTTATTAAATTACATTAAAAGCTGCTCTCATTGGTTTATTGTATTGTTGCTATGAGAGAATAAAAAAAATTAATAAATAAATTATTTAACATATGAAAAGAAACTATTATTATAAAGCAATATAAATTATAATGTAATTTTTGTTGTTTTATTAAATTATTAATGTGTCTCTTATTTTGCGCCTTGAGATGATTACATGTTAATTATTGAGCCTAGGGAGAATTTTTTTCTGTAATTTTCTACTGTAGTAATATAATGATATTTTATTGGCTCATACTGCTCAACGTCCTTTATATATTCCAAATCAACGTATTGCGCTTTTTTAGGATCAGTTCCTATAACATGTACGCTCAATTTTCTAAAATTACTTCCGTTCATTGTCTGTTTTGCAAACCATTCCTTCAGCTTATTAACATTTATTTCCATTAGTGCAAGTATTTTCTTGTCGCGTCTGTCAAACATATATTTACGTTGCGTGATCTGTCTCCAGTTTTTGTCAACTTCTTCTTCAAGACTAATAGCATCGCGTAGTTCAGATCTTATAATCTTTTGCTTGTAGTCATCCAAATCGTTTTCTGTGAGACTTTCCAAACAATTGCATTTAAACTGTTCTAAAAAATCCTCGATTATCAAATCTGCATATTCGGTTTTGTATTCGTTTGCTAGAGTGCAAACCATAATGTTATATCCTAAAATTCCATTAACATCTATATAGGTGTTTGTGACACATTTAAATTTATCAACGAATAGCTTCTTGTTGCAAAACTCGTTGTAAATTATAAACTGAAAACAAATGAACATAATATAGAAGGTGTAAATAAAATAAATCGTAATAATTAAACACCTTATTCATATTTTATTTAGTTTTAAAAATAAATGAATGTATATTAAAGATTCCATATATGTATTCAAATATACAAAATAACATATGTTATTTAAGGAAAAAATCCTTGGCTGTATTACCGACTAAATGTAATATTTTTTGTATAACACTTTTTTCCTCTTTTACAGTTTAAAAAATTCTTTTTCAAAATTTATATATACGTATTAATTACGTATTTGTGAAATAGAGTTTATATATACCGAGAACAAAAAAGAAAATGGTTTAAACTAAAATCTTTTTTATTATTTCTTACTCCAATATGGTATTTAGAGCCATCAATAACAACATTTGCTTGATATAGAAGCTTTGCAATCTGTATTTTTATATGAAATTGTAGTTCACAGACTGGTAGTTTACATAACAAACAATCTGAAGTTCTTAGAATTAGATTTAGACGTCTAATTAAAACATCATTGTTTTACAAAAATTTATGTATATGTATATGCGTAAGATATTAGTGTATATAAAGTAGTACGTAAAGATGTACCAAATGTGTCACATTTTTTCGGTAAATAATGATGTCGGATTTTAAGCTTTACTTTAGGGTAATACTTACCATTAGCAATTTGATTAACATAAATGATTCAATAGACTTGATGCCGACTTGATAATGATTTAATACTAAGGAAGTTGCATCTAATTTGTTGACATTTTTAATCTTGTAATAGCTTGTACCTAAAGGTATCTGAATGCTTCTAAGATATTGTGTCGCACTAGAGTGTAAAGGCATAGGATTAATTGTTTTAATAAATTGTTGTACGAGGTTAAACGCATCAATTTGTATCACGTTTCCTTGCACGAGACATTGAATGTATAAATAATCGGTAAAAGATATCACAAATTCTTCAAAGTCTTTCAAAGTGATATTATGTAGAGCAGTAAGCATATCAACTTGTGAATAATGGACTAGCTTCAGTATCGATAATAACATGTCTCTGTAAGCAAGATTAAAGATATCATTGATTAATCAGCAGAAATGTAACATAATATAATATATTTTATAATTATATTAATTGTTATAATTAATATGTATTATTAATCATTTCTTTTAGTTATATGAGAATTTTATAATTGTTGTAATGCTTGACATAATAAACAGTCAATACTTGATGAGAATCTCAGGTTTCTTAATTCCGATGTTATATAGTTCAATTTGTTGAGTTTTAATACTCTGAAATAAGTCTTCCGTAATATATTCTGGAAGTTTCACCATATTCGATGCAAGAAGATTCAATAAGAGCTGCAATATAATAATACATCTTGAAATTGTATTTGCAACTCCAAAGCACACTTTGAACGTATACTTACTGGCATAGTTGGTCTAAAACCGCTTATTTGCAACGTAAAACCAATCTCACCGACATCGATATTATATTTAAACCCAGCCTGTTCAGCTGGATATAATTCTTCGGTTATTAGTTCTTTCAAAACGTCGCAGTACATACCCATGAGAACTCCACTGAAATGTTATTAATGTTCACGTCTTTTTTAATAAAATATAAATAATTATATAAAAATTATAATATTGGTTACTATAAGTTAAAAATTATATAGTGTATACATATAATGTCAAATACAGTAGTAACTGTAATATAGTATTGTTATATTTTCTGTGCTACTTACTTTTTTACTGACTGAAGTTTTAGAGGGGTAATAAAATGGAAGCATACATAACATTTCGGCGTTCGAAATTTAGAATCCGGACAATACCAAATCTCCGATACAGGATCACTGTATAATTTTATAGGATATTTCGGAACTTTCTTTGGTAGCGGTATTACAGAAAATTCTCTGGTAAGGAATATATTCGGTAACGGTAAAAATATTTCTGGTAGTGGCTCGATGACTTTCCAATGTTTGATCCATTTTTTTGGTATCTCAATATCTTTATATTCCGTCATCCAACAAGGATCAAATTGATCTAATTCAAGAAGATCAATATTTTTCGAAAAAATCATAATATTCGTCATTTCAGGCACCAAGTTATTCAAAGATTCTTGTATAAGTTCTGAATTAAAATCGAAGTGGAGCTCTCCAGTTAAATAAGACTCCGACGGATAGATATGCATATTCTTACACAATTTTTTTACATGAGAGATTGGTTCTTTTTTGTAATCTTTAAATCTAAAAAGATCTTCAAACATAAGGAATGTTCCACAAATAGTTTGCTGACTTTTCTCTTTCAAACCGAATGAGACAATGCCACAGCGGTTTAAGCTAGATCACGGGTGTTTCTAAATAATTGTGTGCGAATTTATATACTACGAATGTAATTCTTTGACTCCCGGCCGAGGTAATTAATATTTTTCGCAGTGAAAAATTAATTATTTACAGTTTTTAATAGGTTATTCAACATTAATAAGATCGATATAAGGTACATCAGTAATTGTTAAATTGTTAGTCAATTTAATTCATGATATTACTGCGGTAGTTAGTGTTGCGTTTCAAGTCTGAAAAAAATTTTCGGCGCTCTATCGAAGAATTACATTCGTAGTATATCAATTCATACACAATTATTTAGAAGCACCCGTGATCTAGCTTAGACCGCTGTGGCATTGTCTCATTCGATTTGAAATTTAGCAGTCTAATAAGAATTGATATTGTTTATTTATGTTTTCTATTTCAATCATCTTAAATACATCAATTTATTTCTAAAATTATTTTACCTAAAATAATTATGTTTACTTTGAAGAATGTCATTGTAAATTTCTTTCTGTGGGCCTTCTTTCTTTAATAAATTGATAAAAGAAAATATCGCATTTAGAACATCTTCTAGATGTTTTCGTCCTTCATGAGTGAGTTTCATGGTAAGCTGTATGGAGCTGTACAAAGAGTTACGTTCATAGTTACAATGAAACATATTATACGTAGGACACCACTTTTTTTTGCGTAGGTAATTAATTAAAGAACCTTTTCCTTTGTATTCAATAATCCACGAGATATATTGATCTGGTTTATATTTATAATAATTAAAATCATGTAACAAAGGCAAGGCCCATGTTATTTTTAACTGCAAAGGGAAGTTTTATTTTGTATATTTATTTGTATTTTTATGTTGTATAAAGATTCTTTTCGATCTGCTCAAATTTTAATTACATACTTGTGTCAAAGATTCCATAGAGTCATGAACTTTATACATTTTTCGGAAAGCGGGAGTATCAAACGGGAGAACGTCTTTAAATCTCATAAAATTTTCTGGATGTAACTTGTTAGTTGGTATATTAGCAAAGAACTTTATGACAAATTCTTCCAGTGCATCCAGTGATAGTCTCGACTATATAAAAACGTATCATGCTATGATTTTATTTTATAAACAAAAGCTGTAAACTCTATAAACCCTGTAAGTAATAAATAATATTCTCGCATCGTAATTTTAACGAAGTTACCTGTATTACTAGCTTCATTCTGTGAGCACTGTAATGGCGTTCTTTAAATTTAAGCAACACATTGTGCAAATTTTCGCTATCTAATTCATTGCGCATTTTTATTATATTATCTGAAGAAATTTTATGAACTGGATGACCAATTTGTGCGAAAGAGGAAAACAGCTGTTCGTATCTCAAATTACCATTAAATAAGGCCATCTGAAACTCTGTATAAGCATAGCAAGTCAAGGCTGCAAGTTGTGACAACATATATGTTAAGTACAATTTATATACCAAACAATTACAAAAATTAAGTAAAAACATAAAGGCTATTAAGAGTCAACGCGGTTAGCAGTGCGCAAAAAATATATAATCTTAAAATCTAAAACATATTAGATATTATGTCGAACGTTTCGATCCTTAGTTTCGGATCATCATCAGCGACAAATACAATATAAAATTAAAAATTACTCAGAGTTGCAAACAATGATGTTGTCCCGTGGTATGTAATACAACCAATCTGAGGTAAGACTATCACTTCTTCAGGTGAAAGTATGTACCTATGTGTACATTAGTTTGAATAATTGAGTATGTCTCAGTTGGTCGACAAAAGACATAAAATCAATTATATCACAGAAATCGCATTGATCAAATTTCATCGTCAATATGTCTGTATATGACGATGTACAACGATATAAGATATAGATTTTAAGATTATATATTTTTTGCGCACTGCTAACAGCGTTGACTCTTAATATAGCCTTTATGTTTTTACTTAATTTTTGTAATTGTTTGAAACATATAAGAGTCTATAATTCAATTATATTATTAATTTATTAAAATTTTTTATGATTTATATACCATTTCTGATCGTTTCTTGTTGCATCTCAAGTGAACTTTTCGTTATCATAGGTTTAATAAAAAATTGAGCAAAACAATCGAGAGCCCTAACCAAGGCTTTGTTATCAATTTCAAAGTAAAATGTTGTATGCTCGGAGTCTATTGAGACATCTTTAGTACCATTATTGCTACTGATAAAATCTTCCAAATTTATCTGAAAATAAAATAATACTTAAATATTATACATACCACACACACATACATAAACAAATAATTAAATTTTATATTAGATTTATTCATCACGTTTTTTTTAGTACATTATTTAGTATATGTTCATCGAGTTGACGAAAAAGCGAAGCCTCTAAAAAACGTGTTATGCCTGGACATATTTTTGGATCGCTTAATCTTCCTACGTTTATGCATAAGCCACATGCTGCCTGTTTAAAAAATGTAAGTGTATACATATTACACGAGCCTTACACGCAGTTAAATTGAATACAATCAACAGAATGACTAAACAGTTTGAAATATTGTATCATATGACATATATTTCAAAATCAACTTATGAAAATTTTTCTACAGTGCTGGAGATCAAATTTTTCAAATCTTAAAATTTCTGATAATACACTTAAATCTTATGAAGACAAATATTTCTTATGATTTTAAAGTCTATCGTTAATATTAATTTTACATATAAATTTTTAATAAGTTAAATAAAAAAAATGAATATGTTCTCAAATGTAAATTAAATTGTATTGTTTATACCTTTTGTTCGTCGCTCTTCAAAGTGCATGTTAAATTTTCATCGAATATTAGCAAAGCTTCTAAACTGTTTGATAATTTAATGAGTCTAAATTTAAAAGATAAAGCAGACAATAATCAAATGAGAAGTCAGTGTAAAAATATTGTATATTTTGTTAATTATTTTAAAAATCTAATCCTTCTTTGTAAAAAATATATTGCAACATTTTTTTCAAAAAATTACTTTAATATTATTTATCGCGTTTATTTTAATCGAAATTGTGCTTTTACTGCTAAATAATTGCTCTCGTTTTACCTATATTCCTTTTTGTCATTCTCCAATTTAGTGGGCGGATCCAAATATTTAGGTCGACATTTATCCCAATTCTTTGGCATTATATCAACGTTCAGAAAATTAAAATTAAAATTGTATCGATTTGTGAAATACGATTCGACGATCGAAAAGCCTAATGGTTTAAGTTCTTTTTAACTTCCTTTCCACACACACAGAGTAGACTTGGCACAATTATAATAAACAACACTTTAATCAAAAAGTCTTCTTTCTTTATGGCATTTATCCTCGAGCAAAGGTCAATATATATGGCTAATATCTAATGTATATATTATACGTAGAGAATTTAGAAGTTTATTTATTTGTATTATTCATACAGGAACCTATAGGTGACTGGTATTCTTAGTCCGTTTGTGTGTGTATATTTAAAATCATTTAAATATTAAATTGTCATAAAACGTTTATGCAACCTTAGCATTTTAGAATATTATTGATTAAAATAAAAATTATTAATTGAAATAAGAAACCGGCTATGAATATCGATCTAGTTTAACTTATTATTATTTACTTATTATTCGTGTAAAAGAGATTCCATGTGTGCGATTTGCTTTAATAATTTGAGTCAATTCGTCTAAACTGCATTCCGAGATAGAAAAGTGTGAGGTTTAGGATTAACCGATACTGTCTAACAATGGTCTTTTATAAATCCCCTGCTAGAATTTCCGACCTATTATAATGGATCACAATAGCATGCGATCTGACAATGGTCAGTCGTTATTGAAAGAAATAAGAGGCATAAAATTTTAAATATGATAAAATAGAGAGCATACAATGTTTAAAAATTCTCGCATGTTTTCTTATTGGTTCAAAAACAGTTAATATATTAACGGTGTATAAATTTAAATCAGATTCATGCGTTTTTTTATGCGTAAAAAAAATATAATAATCTATATCTACGTGTGTATTGGTGTGTACAATGTAGACTTTTATGTTTTAATTATTATCTATTTTTTATGTAAACAGAGTAATTTATGGATCATCAAATTAATTGTCGTTGCAGAGTAGACTAAAAAAATAGTACTAAAAAAAAGCTTTTTTCACATATTGTGTTCATATATCTTTATTTATCAATTTTAAAGACAGATGTCCACGTTATCGACTATTAGTATAAATTTACCGATCGTTAATACATAAATTACGTTATATATATTTTGTTAAATTAATAATTTTTTATTATACAAATGTTTTATAAATAAATAATATGCATACTCTTATAAAGTCTATAAATATTTTATGCAGTATTACTGTTAATTCTGTATCTATTGCAGTTATTACAGTCACTTCATGGACAAAGAAATACAAATATAGTACTATATAATATAATAATTATAAAAATGCAGTTGAAAAATAAAATTAAATATTAGTAAGTTATAAATATGTTTATATGTTATATAATTATATCTCAAAAATATTGATTAACAAATAAATTACAAAATTAATGTTATATTATAAATTACACATTGTTTAAATTTTAACAGCCATACGATTCTCATAAAATTATTGGTCAATTATCATAGATATATACATAATATTAGCAGTCTAGATCTCATATGCAGATCACAGAGGAAGAGAGAACTAGAGGAAGTGGTCATATTATCGGAAAAGGTCATATTAGAATATATAAATTAGAAAGAATAAGCTGTATTACCAAATCCAGGTAACGTCTACAATTTTGTGGTCCGTGCTGTGTTAAGTGTGAGTTCGACAAAGACGCGAACAATCAGACTTCGATTGTTCGTCTTTATCTAATCCATTTAATAAGCGTGGAACAGAACCACAAATAATCGTTAATATTACCTTACAAAAAATTTTGGTAAAATCTATATAAATCGCGGTGACACGGCCAAAGAGAAACCTGAAAGGTAGCTCGGATTATAATTATTGAGTATAGCGACGCCGATCGATCTCGCGCTCGCGTGCACGGATCAGATATTACCAGCGCTTAGTTCGCCTAGTTCCGTCCAGTCCGTGGGTCGATTACCGGCCGATCGACCCGCGTCTCGCAGCGTCATGTTATCAAGCTTTGTGCGATTTATCACGCACACCTCCACCGTCCTCCCTCTCTCGTCCTCTATACTCCCGTAGTCTCTCCCCCCCCCCTCCCCCACGTTTCCTTCTCTCTCGCTCCGATTCGCCCTGGATCCGCTCCTCTTCGCTTTTCGTGGACGCTTTTCTGGATTCTCGCGGGTAGGGCGCGGACGCGGATGGGTGCGTTTGCAGTGTTTACTGCGAACTGCAAAGCAAGGGCAGGGCGCGCACCGAGGACAACGGGAGTGAGGGCAGCGAGGCAACCAGCCGGATAAAACGAGAGCTGCGAAGCTGAGTGGAGGCGCGCGCGCGTGCGACGGTCGTCGTGGCGCGCGAGAGGGCTGTGTGCTGAGGCGACGCGCGCGCGAGAGAGTAACCGAAGCCGACGCACGGAGGAGTAGCGTGACTCTCGAGACATCGTGCGGCTAGTTGCGGCATGGAGACCCTCGAATCGAGCCGCGTATGCCGCCTTTGCGGCCAGCACTCCGGCATCTCGATCAACATCTTCGACACGAGCGAGAATCACGTTCGGAAAATCAACGCTGTGCTGCCGATCATGGTACGTCATTACGCTTTCTCCCTTCCCCCCTCCCACTCTCTCTCGCTCTTTCCCGTTTAAGCGCGAGCCTCATATACATCCTACTGAGAGATACATACATTTGCTCCTTCCTTCGCGCCCTCTCTCCGCCTCCTCTTCTCTGTTTCTTTCTCCCCTTTTACGATTCCCTTCTCCAATCGGAGGGTACGCGCCCGCGTGTGCCCTTCTCTCATGCACTCTCATCGTCCTTGCATAGCGTAATGCTCACCCTCTCTCTCCCTCGTATCTGCCACCTCGTTACGAAACGCGTGGTCCATTCTCTTTATCAGCCACACTCTAACGTGACTTTACGCGCGCTTTCTTTCGATCCTCCACCTTCGCCTTTTTCCTATTCGACGCTCCAATTCCTGGCCGGTACATCTGTTTCTGCGACGAAAAAAAAAAAAAGAACTTCCGCGTTTGCATGTCGAGTTGGCAAAGGAGGATATAATACCGCTATTTTTGTGGAGGGGCGAGAAGGGTCGACGGGGGGTACTCTTTGTATGCGAGCGGAGCACACATCATCGACCACGTGCGAAAGATATCGCGGTTCAGCGTGATTCGTTATGGGAACGAATTCTCAATTTTTTTTTTTTTTTTTTTATTTGCGAAAAGTGAGGTTATCATCGTTTTTACGCGCGAAATGAATGTAACTCTGAATGTCGAGAGCGCGGATTACGTTGCATAATTCGAAGCGCGGGAAAAGGACAGACTTGAAATGGATTTCATGAGTTCCTCGTGGTGATTTTTTGCCGCACAAATTTTTGCATCGATGATCTTTTGGATCATTTACGTTTAGCCGCATTTTGGAACATTCTTTTTACTGCGGTTTTCTATTATACTATTTTCTAAACGTGAATGCAATTCTTTTCTTTTTTTGATGTGTTAGGGGTGGTGACACACAAACCTTACAAAAATCATAGAATATTTGGAATATATATAATTAGTACATTTATCGTCTTATTTATCTCATGTAGAAATTTAATTCTGAAAGGTGATTATAATTATTAAACTCCAAATAATAGTTTAGTACTTAAAATGAGTAATTAAGTATTGTTTTTTAATATTAAATTAACCAATATTAAATTGGATTTTTGTAAGAGAAATGTAGATATAAATATAAAAAATATTAGCAAATTTTTGCAAAAATGCCTTATTATTTAACACTTTTAAAAATTAATCTTAAAGAATATTTTTTAAAAACTAATAATTTTAGAATGAATCATACATTAATTGTAATAAATATATGCACATGCAATAAGAAGAATAATAAGAATAGTAATTTTGATAATTGTCTGAAAATAATAAATATAGTAGTATGCTAAATGTGTGATGAAATACATAAAAGAATATTTATCTCAGGGATAAAATAACAAATCATTAATATATCATTTTTGAGACTTGTCTTTATTTAAACTCAGATTCAGCAAATCAATTTATTTTTAGTTTAAATAACATTAAATTTAGGTAATATTATTTTCTAAATTAATCGAAGAACGATCTTAAGATACGATATCTTCAAACAACCAATCTATTATAGTGTAAATGTTATCATATGTTTTATCATACGTATATGATAAAAAGGAATGATTAATTCGAAATTTCGATAAGAAGATGCAACTTAATATTATCATGTAATTAAAATTTGCCCTATTTTTTGCTTTATATTTATAGTATATTGTGTTTTTGTATATTTAAAGGGTGAAAAAAAATCATAACACTGAAAAAAAATCTCAATTAGAAATATTTCTCTGCTCGTATTCAAAAAAATTATTTTTTTGGTTCAATGAAAATTTCTTTTGAAATTAAGGTTGTTTTTCTTGTAGAATCTAGAAATCTATTTTCCAATTAATCGTAAACTACGAATTTTCTAATTAAATTTGTGACTCGTTCGTAATTATACGAAACTATTCTGAAGCAATTAGCAAGGGTAACCGGTGGTTGCGATAATGTTAATGAACGGAAGTTTCCTTGTATGGCATGTCACTCGTCATACCCACATCTACCTCGGGCAATAACGCACACTCATTTATTTCTCTTTCTCTCCGTACGACAATTCAATGTCACAGGTATTCGGTATTTTGCCTTTTATCAATAATTACGTAATAATCGAAGTGTTCAGTTCCGATAACATATATAACCACGAAAAATCATTTTGTACTATCAGATAAAATCGTTTATTTTACCAAATGACAAAAATGATTTGTAATCAGATGAAATTGTATGAAATCAAATGAAATTATATAATTTGTGGAGCACAATATTTTAATTAGCGTTACCTCTTTGGTGATTTTTTTCATTTCTTTATTTGTTAACAACTTCGAAAAACATAAGTCTCCAACATTTTTTTTAATCGACTCAAATTTAGATTATTGTTCTCTGATTAATTTCTTGACAAAAGATCGTAAAAAATTGAGTTAAATGAACCTTAAGATACAATATTCCTAGAATGTTATGTGAATATTAAAAAAGGTGAATAATATTATTCATATAACATTATAGGAATATTGTATGCTTATAAGAATCGAATAATTTAATCAGACGGTTGATCCTTCGAGAATTCGTAGCTTGCAGGTTTTTTTGATTCTGTATTTTGTTATGCGTTTCTCAGGTGCACGAGATGGATTTATTGCCGAAGCAAATGTGCCACCGGTGCAGCTACAAGTTGGAGGAATTCCACAAATTCTACATGAACTGCCTGAAGACGGATGCGGCGCTCAAAAGTCAACTATCGTGGATGCGGAAGGGTGGCGTTAGGGAGAAAGTTGGAGTACCGATGGTGCATATCGAGAACATGAAGGAGATCAAAGCAGAGCCGCTCGACTATGACGTGTACGAGTTGGAGCCGTTGGTGGAGAACATCGACTATATTAACTCGATGAACTCGGTGACGTTCCCGGCCGACAGCATTCACAACGGATTGACATACACGACGTTCTCTCGATGTTGCTGTGATAAGAAAGATCAGAGCAGATCGAGAAGAACATCGGAGCTCTGTCAGAATTATCAAGGACAAATGCCTAGATGTGGCAGAATCGCAAATGTCTCGCAGAAGAAGACTTTCGAAGACGCTGCACAATTAAAATCGATTAAGAGAAATCTTTTTACACAGTCGGTATTCCCAGATTGCCCTCAGAATCGTCTGCAGCATGTCGAGAACGTTGTCGAGAACACCGTTGAAAATGTACGAGATTGTCTTGTTACAGTAACGAGTACCAAAGATGCCACTCCGGAAACGCGAAACCATTGTCATGGTAAACTCGGAACGCTTCTTAAGAATCAGCCGGTAACCAGGAACACAATAGTGCGGAACCTGAGACCCAGAAAAAATCTGAATTATGCGCAGGTCAAGCACAAAAAAACCAGATCGAGTATTAATCCGAGGCCATCTACATTGACCAAGTCAAATGTTTCTGAGGCGATATCCTATCCAAACGTTGAGCTGATGCGGCATATCAAGGTTGAGTTAATAGAAGAGTCTAAAGGACGCAACTTAAGGCCAAGAAGGAATGTTGTGGATTATCAGGAATCAAAGATAAAGAAGGTTTCAGATTATCGCTCAAAGAAACGCAAATTGGACGAGGAAAGCTCGAAATTATGCTCGAAAAACGACAGTACATCGAATGCTTTGGATTTTAAGATAAAGCAAGAGACTCTATATAGAGATTTGGAGAATACAATGCTTAGTGAAACAACCAACACGACGCCACAATTACCGAGCAAGTTCTTACCCGCAAAGATTGAAGCAATGACGAGCCACAATAGTATCAGTCTGCAAGATGACTATCTCAAGTCGCAATTTCGGGTTCAATTGACCGAACAAAAATCATTTTCCAACATCGTGAGGAATAGGTTAGCTAAGGCAAAGAAGGTTCTCAGAGTAAATTATTCGCCAAAGTACTTGAGAAGTCAGGACATTTATCTGAGGAATGGTAAGATAAGAAATAACACGGAGTGGTCAGTGAAGAAACTGCAGACGAGAAAATTGACGAACACGGTCAACAAAAACACGAAAAAATCACCGATGCTGAAGTTATCCGAAAATATTAAACATTATTGCGAATCGTGCAACGTCAGATTTATAAATAAAGAATTATTCAGACTACATGCATGTTACTACGATTGATCTTTCGCCACAAGCACAAAATCTACGAGCTGTCTGAGAATCGTTCGAAGGATTATAATGCCTTCTAGATATTTCTGTTAATGTTTGAAAAAGATTAAGACATTTCGCGATAAAGTGTAAAGGTATATAAATGGTTAGAAGAAATATTTGCAAGATTGTATGATAATCTGTATTTATATATGATGTATATGTGTGTGTGTACATATATGTACGTATACTTCAATTCGCTTCTAATCTTTTTCTTTCGTATATTTCGCTCATAAAATGGAAGATGCTTTTGTTTTAGACATCCTATAAGGATGACGAGTCGATAAAACGTGCCTATCCTTAACAATTTCATCAAATTTTTTGTAATATTGATGTTATCTATCTAATTATATTAACTTTCTTTTTCTTAATGGAATAGATTATGTTAAGATTATCAAGTGCAAGAGTAAATATAGATAATTCTGTATGTACATAATGCACTTCATTTAAATTTAATATTACGCGTTATTGTATTTTTGTTGTATCATTTTGCGTAAGCGATATATATCTATATATAATATATATTATATAATATTATGTATTATATATATAATATAACAAGATCTAAATATACATATGGATATACATACATATATCCATGTATATTCTTAGATCTTGTTTACTGGCTTAAGTCAGTTGAATTATGACAATTGTTACAATATACGCTTAAAACTTTAAGTAAAAATTCACAAGTCGCCTTCAAAGATTAAGAAACAATTGGACGAATATAGAGATAGAGTAGATATATATTTTATGAGAGACACACACACACAAAAGATATATATATATTATACTATATGTCGATATTCTCGATGAAATCATGTGATATATGTATGAAAATAATGACCGATCTTTTAAAGAACTCCATATTATGTAAGATATAATAATCGAAAATTGATCTTTCTACTGTTACATCAGAATTTTATATATTAATATTTACAATCTCCTATACTTACATGTTTTGATGATTGTTCCAAATTACATTACGCTGCGTAAAAAAGACTTATAGATATATATATATGTATATTTACTAGCGGTACACATTCAAATTATTTGTATCCGAGTATAATAATCTGTATTAGGCATACGCAGTGAATATAACGGATTTATTAAATAATTAATTACAACTCTATTTTTCTAGCGTTGTTATCATTGTCATTATTGACAATTAAATTGAATAATATGTTATGTTAAGTCTTATTCATCATAGTTATCGATATTAACTGCATAGGTTTATGCAATCGTTTATTGTTGCAAAGTGTTTCTCTGAATTATCGATACATAAATAAAAAAATAGTTACTGTTAATGGGTAGATACATCTTTATCATATCATTTAACAGATTAATAAATGTTATATAATTATATATATATACACATGTAAATGATTAAGTTATGCAATAATTATAAAATCACCGTCCTACTGATCCCGTCGTTTTTCTCTTCTTAAAACTCTATATGTAATATTTAATATTAAACAATACTGACAGTGTTATATAAAATGGACACGGTAACTGAAACAGTAATAAAATGTTTTAAAAAATTAATCATTTCTAATTTTCTAATTATGTTTCGTAACAATTGTAATTTTATAATTTTTACTAGAGAGATAAAATATTTTATCTATATAATCCTTTTTTTTTTTTAAATAATTTCTAGTTTCGTAACAATTGCGACTTTATAATTTTTACTAAAGAAATAAAATATTTTGTAGAGTATAACATCCTTTTTCTTAAATAGTAGTAGAGAGAAACCTCTCTCTCTCTGTTAGTAGACATGTAAAATCTCTCAAAGGGAATTATTCCCCCCTTCCATCTCGTCGTTGTGCGATCGCAGCGGACGCAGCATTGTGGCAACCGAACGAATTACTGCTAACAAACAAACAAAAAGTATGGCAGGTGTCAAGCGGTTCGTAAGGAATGACCGGTTGTACACGGCGGATTGACTTTGTTTAATTACGGCCGAGAGAAGGCGAGATGTCTTCAGACGCCCGAAAATCGCCGCGAATCGAAGACGTAAGTTTCACGCGCTGTTATACACCCGCAAGTCGCGCGCTTAACCTAAACTCATCTCTTAATTGTTGATCGTTCTATGAGATTTCAAACGTATAACTTATCTTTTCGCGAAATGAAGAGTTTTGTATCTGCTTCTTTCAGTTAATTTCCACGGAGGATGACACTTTGGGATCTTCCATAAGTCTAAGCATTGGAGAGAACTCAGTTCGTATTAAAGAGAAACCTAAAATTATCAAGGAAGCCGAACAATTGTCGACTGATAAAAAAAATACACCGGATAAGTGGTGGTTGAAGAGACCTGAGACACGTCTGGGTGTCCTGAATACCAAGAATGTAGATGCGAAATCAAAGCAGTCTCCTATTCCTTTGTCGGACGTCAGCTCCTCTATGAAAGAGTTTCTCGAGAAAGAGAGGATGTGCAAGGTAATTATTCAAAACAAGTAGTATTGATGCCACAACAAAGCATTTTTTGTTAAATGTGATATTTTTAATTGATTTTATTTTCTATCATTATATGTTGGTTTAAATAATTTTATTAACGTTTTTAAATCTCTTAGACAACATCCAAAAGCGAAGGAGAAGCAAAAGACAAGGATGATACATTATGCGATATACTCGCATCTGCAGCTTTTGATAAATATCCATCAGATTTTGAAAGTAAGTTTTTATAATATAAAGAGTATGGTTCAATAAAATAAAAATAAAGAATATAATAGGGCTACGATCCAAATTATATATTTTATAATAAAAAATAAAACAATTATAAACAATAGAACAGACGTTTTGACCTCGCTTGTGTCATTTTCAATGTTACAACATATAAAATTCATAAATTAATGATATAACAAAAGTAGACACTATATGAGAAAAGTACAGTAAGTTTTTATGTGAAGCCAGAGCTTTATAAATTATGATGTTTGCATTTGATTAATTATTGTTTTATGCAGATGCCACTGATGAAGATATCGGCAGTTTTTTGGAAGAAATGAGCAAGATTGCTGGAGCATTAAGTCCTAATTCTTGTCCTGAACGTACAAAGTCTGGTGGTTCTAATAAGAATCCTACAGAAGAAGAGAAGTCTGTGGAAGAATTATTAGAAGAAGCTGAGAAGTTGGTCAGAAAAAATTGTAACACTCTGTCAAAAAGTATATCGAAATCCGATACTCTAGTGCCAGAAAATGAAGACGAAAGTTTGAGCAGAGTGAGGCAATTAGAAGCTGACATTTTTCAATTAATAGAGGAAGAAGTGCATAAAGAAACAGAAAAAATAAAAAGGAGTCCAAGAAACGAGAGAAAACGGGAGAACAGTCCCGGATTCGAGATTGTTTATGAAAATCTGAATAATTTGAAACCACCGAAAACGCTGGAACTTCAAAGAAAAAAGTTCGAGGAACAAAAAGTAGAAATATCAAGTAGTTCCGATTTGGACGATCCGATTGAGAGACATTCCAAGTCCGAAGAACTAAAGAGCGCAAAAAAAATTGAAATGGAGAAAGAGAATCTACAAAAAGAGATCACAGATGTGGATAAGGACTTTTTCGAGGATTTACTGAGAAGATCTAAAGAGAAGGCGGAGGGCGGAATGTCCGCAAGTTCCAGTTTCGGACAAGAAGATTTCTCGCATTTCTTGAAGCTGCTTCAAGGACAAAATACAGACAAAACAGAGCTGGAATCAAAAGAACCTAATGCGATGTACGATCTCTTTTTAAAATCTACTAATGGCGAAGTGATATTGACTAAGGAAAGTCAATTAGCAAGTGGCAAGACACCAGAATTCCCAGAAAGAGAATTTTCCGAAATATTAGAAAAAGAATTACCGGCCATTAACAGTGCACACATGGATCATGAAATTAATGAGAGCGATTCCAGTATGAGCGAAGGACAACATAAAGGATCACAAAATTCTCAGTCAAGTGGGAAAACATTAAAGCAATCTAAGAATGAGTCTAAAAAGACTGCATCGAAAGTCATGGAGAGAGAGAGCAATAAAAATATAACAGAAACCAATAAAAAGGCAGTTAATTCTGAAAGTGAATTATATACAGTAGGATTGACGCCGCGATTGGAATTATTTGCGGATGCAATACCCAAACTTATGGCTGAAAAGTTGAGTGAAAGTATTGTGAAGGAGAACACAGAGAAAGCTGATTCGGCGTACAAGGAATCTACTTGTTCAGAAACGAAGGTTGATACGAAAGCGGAAAATTCATATACCGTTAATGTATCAAAGACTTCGAAGATGCATTATCAAGAAGTACCTGATCATGGCGTTTCGAGTAAAGCAATAGATATACCTAAAACTGACCGCATTGTTAGTGCACCAAGCAATAAGCAATCGAAAAAAGAAATAAGATTTTGCAAGTCTAAAAGCTATGATCTCTTATGCCAACCTCCTTTAAGATCATCTCTCGAAAATGTCAGGGTGAACAAAGCATTGGATGTGTCTAAGAAACCTATAAACGCAGTTTCCAAAAAGTTATCGGCAAAGCCGAAAGTGCAATCCCGATCAATTCCTAAAGTCGCGCTGAAACCTAACTCATCCTCAAGATCAAAACTGGATTCCGTTAAAGTTGGATCCACATCTAGCTTACCAACTGCATGTAAAGGATCTCAAATAAAATCGCCTGATAATTATAGAAAAAATTTTATGGCCGCCGGAGATTCAAAACAGATTCCAATAAAACGTGATTGGGAGATGTTATGTCGCGAGGAGAGACACAAGAACGCACTATTGAAACAACAGTTGGAGACAGAGGCAAAAATGTACAAGAGTCAAATTGAGAATATGCGTACGTCTTTTGAGGGAGAACTGTTTGCCTTAAAGAAACAAAATATAATCTTAAAGGCAAGAGTTGATGAGCTCTCTCTAAGTGAAAGGCGTGTCGAAATTCCTGTCAAGAACGACATGAAGATTACTCTTCTAGAACAGGAATTGGAAAAGCAGGAAAGCCTGATCCACGCTTACGAGACCGAGAACAAGAAACTGATGCAAGATACGAAACGAATGCAAGAGGAATTGAAAAATTTACAGTCTAAGCAGAAGAGCACGATATCGAAAACAAACGACATGCAACAGCTTACTGATCGGGTGAAGGATCTCCAGGAGGAGACATTGAAGTTGAATCTCGAGGTATCGGAGCTGAAGGAGAAGAATGCCGATTTCTTGCTGAAGAATGATGATTTAATTCAACAGAACAGTTTACTCACGGATGAATTGGATATGTTTAAAGAACAGCTGAAAGCGAAAAGCAACTTTATTACGGATCGGTTGCAAGTGATGACCACCACAGAGTTAGAATTTAAAAAACAGATAGAGGATTTAAGCATCAAATTGAGTTCTAAATCAGAGCAGTTGCGCGTGACTAAACGGGAGCTAGAGAAGTTTCAGCAAGATATATCACCGTTGGAGAAGGAACTGTTGGAGTTCAGAGTCAGAGAAGGAAATATGCAAGAGAAATTACGGATAAGCAAAAGTCATGTCGAGCGTGAGAAGCAGCTGACTCAGAGACTCAAGGATCAGGTTATTCTAGACAACAAGAAAGTTATGGATCTGAACAGACAAGTACGTGAGTTAGAGCGTATACTCAAGAGGAAGAATCCCGACTCAGTTTCGGCTCTTATACTGACCGCCAACTCGGAACAGGATAAGATCGGTTCCGAAAAGGTAAAGCTTCTGGAGGAGAGAATAGCAAGTCTCGAAAACGAGATTAAAAATAAAGAGGATATCGCGCAGCAAAATTTGGTTGACTTGCAGAAAAAGTTTTCCGATATGAAGGAGAAATATGCAACCCAGGTGATGGAGTTAGAAGCAAAACTGCTAGAAGCAACTGTGAAAGAACACAAATTATACAATGACATGTTTACGCAAACGACAGTGAAATACGTCGAGAACAAGAACGTAGAGAATAACAAGAAAGACGACAAAGCTTCCACCATGGAAGATAAAAAGGATCAGAAAACGATAAAGGCTGGGCCGAAATCTCAAAATCCGAAGGAAGACGCGTATCTCATTGCTACTATAAGAGGCCTGAAGGTGGAAATTGCGAACAAGGACAAAACGGTTTCGAAGATAACCAAGGAATATCAGGAGCTTCAGAAGACGAATCGTCGATTGCAAAAAGAGCGGGAGAAATTGTTGAACGATCGTAGGAGCTTCAGGAGTATGGATTTCGATAAGGTGTTCCGAGGAATGAAGAATGGTGAAGGAAATGATCAGAATTCGAATGTTTATCAGAACGGGCATGTTTCCGACACGCAGAGGTTGTCGTCGTCAACGCCAAAGTTATACGATCCGGTGCAGTACACGGAGAATGGCAAGAACGGAGTTATCAAGAAATTGACAAATGAAAATGATATTTTGAAGGAGGAGCTGAGCAAAATAAACAAGGATTTCATGGCGCTGAAGAGCAAGCGGCTGCACGATTTGAATCTCTTGCAAGAGGAACATGAGCGAGAAATGGCCACTCTTGTGAAAGAATACAGTGTTAAAATTGGAGATTCTAAAGCGGTAAAGTTGCAGGTTTGTAACGCTTAGCGAGCACTTGGCCTGTTCCTTATTTTATTTATTATCTAGTCGCACAAGAAAAACCTTATAGTTTTTAAGTAGAATAAATCTTTACTTCGTTTATTTGAATACAAGTCTGCTTTGCTTATGTCTTAATATATTTAGATTTGCCATGGCTAGGAATTTTTACTATTTTATAACTTTTATTATTAATAGGGTCAAATTAATACTCAGGGAGCAATTATATCGCACTTAAAAGAACAGGTCGAAAAATTTAGAGATTACAAGGAGCAGGTGATCATATTGAAAACCGAAAGAGAGCATTTGGAGAATAAAGTGAAGTCACTGACCGAGAAAGTCAAATACTTATCAACGCCGGTATGTGAAAAATAGTCGATTAAGGTAGTTTCTTTAAAACAGCTATGACATTGATGATATTTCTGTTTCAGGGAACAGAACAGTTGCAATTGTTACAAGACAAGATAACAATCCTCCAGCAACGGCATGAAAGCAGAGAGATGACTTTGCAGACGTTAATTCGCGATTTACTAAGGAATCGAACGCAGTGCAAAGACTGCAAAAACGAAAAGGGTAAAAATCGGCAGCTCTGCTATTTCCGGCAAGAGCTCGATCATATATTAGGAATGCTACAAGAGATCACTAACGTTCATTGATCTCACTGAATCGAAAAGTCGTCTCGCAGCGAAAAAAATAGTCATGCAGCGCATTTGATGGTTATCGATTTATCATCGAATATTGTGATAATTTTTACAAGAATAAGATTCGCGATATAGTTTAAATAATTCGAAAGAGGCATTAAATACTTTAGGTATCGAAGTATAGGTTACATAAACGCGTTCGTTCGCGACACTCAGCCAAAATCTTTGGTCGATACTTTTATCGACCAAATTCTCTTCCATAATTAATGAGAACTATACACAATCTTCTTTTTTGCGTCCGTGATACCGTTAATATCTTTTCTGCGAAAAGTTGTCCATCAGTACATACAGAGCTCGCAAAGGATTCGGTAGGCTCGGATCACTGCCAAAGAGAAAAACTCTACTGTATAACATTATCGTTAATATCTATAATAACGAACGAACGTACGATTAAATTACAAACTTTTTCGATCTCTTTCCGTCGCCAATTTTCTTGCCACTCGCGTGCAATGTCTGGGAACACTGCCCGCTATTAGCATAATCTATTTTATTGAATCAAAATAATTTTTAGACTAAGTCATATATTTTTAGGAGTAGATATTTTTTTATTAATTTATTTTTATTTATTGATTCCGAATAAAATGGCATGGCTGTTTGCAACATTTCTCCAAATTGATGTTGCTACAGCTTGTTTTCTTATAATAAAATGTATAGCATGACAATTGGACAGAAGAAAAAGAAAAAAATAGAGATATATAGAAACATCTTCGTAAGGATTTCTTCCAAAGTTGAATAATATCTAGTTTTTTACGGATAATTTTTTCGAAACTTTGCTGTACATATAGGCGTTATAAGAGATAAATCGCTATATTTATTCCGGATAATACTCTACGTCGGTTTATTCGCGATCAACGAAGTCGAATTGTCCGACTATATCATGTATATCGTATCGTAAGTACTCTAGTTTATTACTGTTGCCAAGCCTAGCTGATAATTTCGTGAAATGTAGCCTTGTTTGTATGCGTTTAGACGCAAGCACACCGCACAATTGATGCAACCGAGACTTAAGGATGAGTAATCAGCAACATAGAACATGCCTATCTTTCGTATTTTCAACACAAAATCAGCAAAATCTTGAAGACAATTATCTTCCTAAGACCCGGTTACATTGAAGTACACAATCACATTCTTTTTCTAAATAGATTTAAACTTATCACACGCAATGTACAAAATTTAAAATTATAACTTTAATAAATTTAATCTTTTCGCCGAATCTTTTCGTCGTTCAATATTTTCGTCGTTTCAATACCTGGTAACATAACGCAGTTAATATTTTCCGTTGAGTAAATTAAAATCTAAAATATAAGGTATACGTGTATGTATGTTATTTTTTTTAATAGTAAAAAATATTGAAAGGTTTTTTGAAAAATGTTTTCAAAGTTTAACTACTACTGCAACTATTTTATTTTCGCACAAAATATATCTTTTTAGATATACACGTTTCTACAGGACATATATGAGCTGTACATTAATCTACATTAATCTACATTCTGATTATTCTTAGGAACATTACACACATATTGCAACGTAATATCTTAATTCATAAAATAATGATCGACACAAGCAGAGATCCAGAGAATAGCGATTTTCAATGCCGTTGTTCAGTAGCCGATTATATCTTATTTTACCAAATCATGAAACGCTGGATATGCTGGATTATGTTGTTGCTGCAAGAACAATACAACATATGTTAAGAATTCTATTTTATTCATGTCATTTTTAAAATTACTTTTTTATTATTGATAATTTATTTTGAGAATTATAGTTTTTTTATTTAGCATAAGCTAAATCATAATAAAATCATAACATTTTATTATTTATAGTTTGCGTTCTAAGGAATTCCAGTAATTTTAATAGCTTACCCAAGAGAAGACTTTTTTCCATTATAGAGGGAAAATCCATAAACAGTACATAATGCCACGATGAAAGCTTGCCTCATAATATCGTAAGCCATAGGATATTTGAAAAATTCATAGTCCTTCATCAAGTTCGGAACGATTTTTGCTCCGATTTCCATATTTCTTTCAATGCGTACGTTCTGCAAGTTTTGTTCCCGTTTTGCGGATAATCGTTCATTGTCTACGGTTCTAGTAAATGTCCTCTCAGCAGACAATCTTCGTTGTTCGCGATTTTGTTCAGGTACACGGGTGACTCGGCGAAGAGAAGAAAGTCGCGATGAGTCCTCGATGTTCCTCGCCGATCTCTGACGCAAGTGTCTGATGGACTCTCTTTCACGAAACTCGACGGGTCGATTCTCGACTGATTGAGCCATTCGGAGCTTTGAGAGACGTCTGATCTCGCGTCGCGTTTCTGATGAACGTAGAGCCTGGTTCTCGAGAGATGCTGTTTTAGAATTTGCTTTGCGCTGCATTGAAAGCATCAAATTTCGCGATTCGGAGTTTCGTTCCACGCGTCGTTCCTGTATCTTTGATTTTTCACGCAATCTTGAGCTGTCACCATTCCTTCGTTCTGAAGACCTTTGAGCATCGAGAATAGATCGCTTTTCCAGGATTCTTCCGTGAGAAACTCGCGATTCTAAACTTTGTTCCGAACGTTGGTCTGCTAGCCTGGATTCTTCACGTAATTTCAAATTATCGTCGATCCTTCGTTCTAAAGATCTTTGAGAGTCGACAGTAGATTGTCTTTCTAAGATTCTTCCGCGAGAAATTCGCGATTCCAGATTTCGTTCCGAACGTCGGTCCGCTAGTCTGAATTCTTCGCGCGATTTAGAATTGTCATTGACCCTTCGTTCTAAAGATCTTCGAGAGTCGACAGTAGATCGTTCTTCTAGGATTCTTCCGCGAGAAATTCCTATTTTCGGGCTTCGTTCTAAACGTCGATCTGCTAGTCTGAATCCTTCGCGTGATCTCAAATTGTTGATCCTTCGTTCTGAAGATCTTCGAGAATCAAGAGTAGATCGCCTTTCTAGGATTTTTCCGCGAGAAACTCGTGTTTCTGGAATTGGTTCTGAACTTCTTTCTGCTAATCTGAATTCTTCGCGCGATTTAGAATTGTCATTGATCCTTCGTTCCGAAGATCTTCGAGAATTAGGAATAGATCGTTTTTCTAGGATTCTTCCGCGAGAAATTCGTGTTTCCGGACTTCGTTCCAAACGGTCTACCAATCTGGATCCTTCACGCGATATCAAGCTATCATCGATCCTTCGTTCCGACGATCTTCGCGAATCGAGACGTGCTGAATTCAAAGTGATTCGTCGCTCCAAAACTCGCCTTTCCGGAACTCTTCGTTCGGATGTACGTCGGTCGGTTTCACGTGATTTCTGAGAGACAATCCTTTGTTCTTCGCGTAATTGATTCATCCTTTCTCGTCCTTCCTGAGTCGAACCTCGTCGTTCTGCTGCAGAATCGCGCGATTTATGATTGTAATCTCTGGAGTCTCTGATTTTCGCGATTTCTCGACGATCTACCGAACTACGATCAACTGAACGAGAGGATCGTGCGAATCTCTCTCTAATTCGTTCTCGATTTACGGTTTCTTCGACATTATAACGTGATCGTGCTATTTTATAATTCTCCCTAACAGCTGTATTTTCACGTGTGTCACGACGGCTTGTGGTCCTTCGTGAGCGATTGATCCTTTCTCGACGCAAATCCTCGGATGAAGCTCGGATAGACCGCGACATTCGATCAACGGATTTTCGATCGCCAAAACGATTCTCAGCTTTCCGGTGTTCCACGTGATCTATTTCGTGACGTTCCACGGATTGGTCCAATGATCTACGTTCGAAGGACGATCTGCGTTCCCCGGTTCTCCCGGTGTTGAATTCAACTGATCGAACACGTCTGCTAAGAGTTTCGCGATTGATATTGTCGACACCTGAGCGTTCCATCGATCGAGACAACGTTTGACGATCGTCAGATTTAACAAGATCTCCACGAGAATTTCTAGTAGCGACCGATAATCGCGATCTATGTTCTTTATTAGCAACGCGATCGAGAAGAGTTCGGCGATTTTCCAGAGACCGTTCGCGGTTTCGGCGATCCATATTATTGTTGCGATCAATATCTCCTCGTGCGAATCTTGCTGATTTCGGAAGATTTTTGTGATCCTCCCGACGATCCGATCGTTCCACATCTCGATGTTCGATTGACATGCGACGCTCGACAGATCTACGTTCGCGTATCTCAGATCGATAATTCGGAATACGATTTCGCGTCAGATCTCGATGTTCACCAACTAAGATTTTGCGAAATTCTTGCCGATTGATTCGTCGCTCTGGGAGTGATTGATGGTCGTGATAATCGCTTGTACGACGTTGAAGGTTTAAAGAATCTCGCCGATCCATTGATCGATCAACGCGGTTTTGTCGTCGCGCGATTTCGTTAAACTCCCGCCGTTCCGTGGATCGCGATCGACGATTTTCAAGTCGGGAATTTGTAGGACCGTTTAGACGTCGCTCGAAATTTTGCTCGGTAAAACGATGATCGGTTGCTCGGTTAGACAAATCCCGCGATCGAGAGAGTCGAGTGACGAGATCGACCGAGTTCCTGGCGTCGCGGGATTGTGCGATTGTCCTGAATCGGGATTCTCGAACACGGTTGACAGATTCGTCGTTAGATACGCGACTCGTCGATCTTGAAAGTCTCTCGACTGTCCTCAGATCTCGGTTTCTAGAAAGTCGCTCTCTGGTTTCCTGTAAATCACTCCTAGACAAGCGATTCAGACTCAATGATCGAGGAAGTACGGATTTTCGAGACATAGATGCTCTGAATTCAGGTACTTTCATTTCATGATTATTATTCGTCGGTTTTGTAACTTTTTCCGGTTCGGCAATCGGGCTTTTGAAGAAGGGATTCAAGTTCGGACAGGCGTCCACTCTAAAAATAATGTTCTTCTATAATCTTTGAAACAATAAGTAATTTCTAAAAAGATTTATAAGTGCACAAAGTTCTTAGGACATTTAAGAATATCATAATAAAAAAGCATTTAGAAATTTAAGACACAATGTGTAATTCAAGAAACATTTATGATTTTAAACAAAAAAATAATAATAATTAATTTCATACTCGTGAGGAGCTCGATGCGTGAGTTCAGGACCTGCGAGACTGCCAGAATGTCCTTCTCTATCTCTGGATACCAACCCTAACGTTAGACACGCCAGCGATACTATCAGAAGTCCAATGTACTGCCAGGATCGTACAGGTAGCATTACGTGGCGCGTACGCCGCATCTTGCTGCAAAATATCGTAATTCATTTTTAATTAATTAGGATAGAAAGTAATACTACTCCATTCATATCAAGTTAAGTGAATCGAATATTAAATAATTAAAAACAAAAAAATGAATAATACAGTATTAGTTTTCGGAAAGTAAATTAAAACTATTTTTTATATATATAATATACTTAACATTATCTTTTCCGTAGTTTTTTGTTGAACAATATCTCTAATTGAAATTTAGAGTGAAACTTTTTGCGACGGATTTTATCAATAACTCAAGGACATCGCGGTATCTCGCAACAATAAGAAGTATCATACCTGAGGAACTAAGAGCTGTCGCGACCAAGCTTTGTGAGGTATCTCGAAAGGCTCTTCAAGTCTTCCCGTGAGAAGTGCTTCTCGTTGGTGCTCCAGAAAGCTGCTGACGCCGGACGTCCCGAGGGAGTGGCTTTTATACTCGCAGGAGTCGCCTCGTAATTTGATAAAAGCGCAATTCGCCGCTTATCAGCGACGACCACATGGTGCCCCCATACGCCAACGTGACAAGATCAGCGTGAACAAAGCACAGACGGGCAATGTTGCGAACGAAAAGATTGGAAAACCGCAATGCATTCGGTTTAACCAGGTGGAAAATTACGAATCGGGTTGTCTATGGGGTGGAGGTCGTGCGTGGGTGTCCTTTAACACGTTGAAGCTTAATTCCAAAGGATCGAAATCACACTCGGATAAAATCATTAAGCAAAATCTATTTCAGTCCAATAAATCCAATATTTGAGAGTTGTTAAATTCGTACAAACGGTACGAAAATTTATGATAGTTAAATAATTAGTTATACCGGTTTTAAAGTTTCGTATTAAATCTGCTACAGTTTGTAAAATTTCTATAATTAAATTTTTCTGTAAATCTTGTAATTCGTTGTTTGTATAGCAATTAATGTGTATAATGTGTATAATTAATGTCATAAATTTGAATAATTTTATCAATATTTAATTCATTATATTAAAGATTTTGATCTGTCTAAAAATAATAAAAAAAATAGTAAATTAATGTTTAGAAAGTATAATATAGAAGAAAATGAAATTCTAAAAAGTAAATTTTAAATCAAAATCTAAATTTAAAAAATTACCTAATCTTAATAAAAATTTATTTGTTTGTGATAAATGCATTTTGACAATATACTACAATTATGTTCTATTTTCTATATAAAAGTTAATTTAGGAATCTAATATTTCTGAAAGGAACTTTTAAAAATTTTTCTGGACCAAAAATGAAACAGAAAAAAAATGTTTTTTTTCTCAATTCGAGGATTTGAAGAGTTTTTTCTAAATTTTCTCTGATATCTGGAAATATATAGGGTAAAGTGGTTTAAATCGGACCTATTTACAGTTTTTATTTTCTATAAGGTGTAAATAAAGTTTGATTATAAAACCAATGGTGCCGTTCAAAATATCATTTAATTTCCTTCATTTTTGCTTCAGACCATTTTATCTCTTACATGTGTCGTACTACAATGGAAAATGTAAAAATGCATTTTCCGATCCAATTTGAAATGAATTCTAAATCGGACCTCTCCTATTTTTAGATAGAATTTTAAAATATTTTAACTAATTTTTGTTAGTATGGAGTAAAAACGAGCAATTTTTAAGACTCAAAGATAAAAATACATTATTAGAATTAAAATCAATAAAAAATTCCATCAATCTGAGTCTGATGACACATGGACATTTTACTGATTTAGTGTTTCTTAGACCAGATCTGATTGGTCGATCACCAGTACTACAACCAGGTTGTGACGAACCTTCTTTCTTCGATGAATTAGCTGGCTTACTCGTCTTTTTAGTGTTTTTGTACAGGTTCGATTTGGACACGGATTCTTTTAAACTATTGAAACAAATTTTACAATAAACCGCAAAAGTAATCATAAATCTCTTATTTTTTAATTCTACACTCTTTAATCATCTTAAATCAATTACCGTTAAAATTTTTAACATCTTTTAAATAATGATTTACAAAGATTATCTGTTTTAAAAAAATTTTCGCATGATAACCGAAAATACATATTTGCGTCTATTCTATGAAAGTTATGATAGAGTATTGCCAAACTGTTGTCACATGTTCGGTGTCTCATAAGGACTTTACATTATAAATAGCACGCAAATCTGCTTAACCGTATTTATTTAAATTAAAAGGTCCGATTTGGAACACGGTCAATTTAGGACATTCTCGTCTATATTGTATATATTTACTCTATCTGAAATATTAGATGGAAGGAAAATCAGATAAAAATGTATCAGCAAGAATATGTTTGGAGACAATATTTACAAACGTTTATTTTTACACAACACACGTATTACAAAATAGTAAAACGCCTTATAAATATGCATAATTAATAATTACGTATTTACACATTATATTATTATATTATATACCTTTATATTTATATCTATTTATACATACATATATGTATACTTAGTGCGTCGACAAAAACTATTTGAAAATTTTGTCGTCTCCTTTCCAGGAGAAATTGACCAGTCACCTAATACTTTAGGAATATTTCGACTTGTTTTAAGCGGTCGATGCTCGTTCGAGAAAATCGCTCGCCTTACACAAGATAAAATTACTTAAATTAATAAGTTAATCAGGCTTGTCTTGCAAATTTGAAAATATACAAGAGACATTCGTGACAGAAACCCTGTATTATACTCGCGTAATTAACAGTGCGAAATATTTATCGCGCCGCCTTTGACTGTCATACGTTGACTATTCACTTGAGGCTTCTTATAATATAGCGATCAATGCTACCATTGTAATGACCAGGTTTATCCAATGGATGTAGGAAATTTTGGAAGAGCCAGACTTAATCTTGCAAGTGTTTATTTCCTGTAACGCCGTGTAATTTGGGAAGTTCAGAATATCTGGCCGCTTAAAGAGATAATAAAAAGAATTAATATAAATTTATGATAAATAATATAATAATACTGACAAAATTAATAAATTTAATCTATATATCATCAAAATCATCCGGTAACTAAAAAAATAGTTTTGTAGTTTCAAGGATAAATCAAATAAAAGTAAAATGCTTACATGAGTCTTCACAATTGTTTGTGCGTAAATAATATATTCATAAGTTCATTCCAATTATTCGCGAATTATATTTTATCGCCCCTTATAAGTACATAATTTACGTACTAACTCGAAGGCTGAATGAATATTTTATTTACTCATTATTTGATTTATCCGATAACGTTTTCTAGCATCTATTACTCTTTTTGAAAAGTTTAATTAAGAATATATCATTATACATTGAGAGATTTTACCAGTACTAATTGGTCGTCTCTCTTTCTGCAGAATATCATATGTTCACCGTGATATAAATTATATTCTACAGGTTTTGCTAACAAATCATCCTTCCACTGCATTAGCATCATATGTTCAGCAAAAGTACGACCTGAAAATTTAAGAAAATATTAGGGGGAAATGTGTTTGAAATATTCTCTTTAATGAAGTAAAAGATTTTATATTTATCAACGCGCGCGTTTCAGTTATATATACCTCGAAATTCTATAGGATCCTCAATGATGAGTCGCGTGAAAATGTTATCATCTTCACTCTCTTCTATGTGATCTTTCATCGCTATTAATGCAGACTTAGCTTCTTTAATGATAGTCTCATCGATCTCGTCGGTTGATTTCGAATGACTAGGAAGTTGTTTGGTTGAAGGCGAAATCAATTCAGATCTAGAATTTTTTATGAACAAAATATTTAAACCAGACAAGATCATTCTACATTTTTAATTTGAAATTTTTTAAATTCACCTTTCTTTTCCCTTTTCTCAGTTAAAGAAGATAAAAATTAATATTTCATAAACTGGAAAGATATTTCATGAAGGAATTGAAACAGACAACGCATGAATTAAATTAAAGGATTTTCGTGACAATTGATTATCATATAGGTATAACCATTTTATAAGAATCGTGAATATCCTATAAATTATTTCGCGTGAAAAAACTCACCCATTCGTTAGGAACAGTTTTTCCAAGTAATCCATTGTCATTCCCCGGAAGTTTGTTACAGCCATAATCTTGAAAAGATGTTTAACGGGCGTCATACTATAACAGCCGGCAAGAGGTGTTCTGGGGTAATACACAACAAATGCTAGACACATTTCCTGGGTAACTGCGTAGCCTCCAAAAGTCGGTTTCTTTCTGTCCAGAGTACCGTAAACGCATTCCGCGGCTAACTCATCACCAGGTAACACCTTCACTTCTTTTTCCAGCGTATAGGATTGCTGATAGTCGAAGTCGTAATGATTGTCCTGGGCTATCCTCGGCAGCTCTTTACCTTCTCGAATGTGCTTCAGGCTTAGACGTCGACCAGCCAAGTGCGAATGCAAGACAACCGATACAATGTTGATACCGTCTTCAGGAAACATCTGAAACAACATTTGAGATCAGTTTTATTTCGTCTATACTCTCCTTTATATTTGTGCTACATGCGAATAATTCTTACTGTCTGAGTGCACTGTGAAGTACAATATCCAACGGTGGCGTACTCTTTTCGCTGTGGAGGTATTAGATGAAGAGGGCTCACTGCCACGCCGGTCACGAGAATGCCCGCTTCCTGAGGACGAAGGTTCTCAGTCAAATAAAGTCTTACGCCGCTGCTATCGTTCACATTCTTCAACATCGGATTATTGTAGTGGACTTCCAGCATATAATACGAATTCTCGCTTTGTTCCGCTATAGGTACACCGACGTGTTCTGGCATCCATTCCCCTATACAACAGTAGACGATTCTATTACACTGCTTGTATTGTAAAAAATTAAAGGAAATCTTTAAGTATATGATATCGCTCTTTGTATGTACATTATTCAGAAATTTTCTTTAATATGAATTTAAATCGATTTCGTCGACCTTATTTTATAAGCTTTGTATTTTTTAGAATTAGAAACTTTGTACAAATTTTACTTTGCCGAAGAGATTTTGCGAAAGAATCTATTATTATACTGTAACTAAATTAACAATTATCTATGTCTGCTTGTAAATAATTTATACCTTTACTGCCACGAGCCCAAGCGAGGATAGGTTGCAAACACGAGTTCCATTCCTTTGGCATCGCCGAAATGTAACAATGATTGCCGGCCATTCTGGTGTATATGCCGAGCATTGGCGATGTGCACTCGTACAAAATTATGTGATGAACCAGATCCTCGTTGCTTTTCTCTATGAGTGGTGTATACTGAAACGTATAAATAATGTATGAATGCAAGACGCTTAAAATCGCTCTGCCTTGGATTACCAGGCAAACTTTGCGTGACATATATCTCGGATCTTTAGTTTGGGAAGATTATGTTCGTAGATACTTGGGACACTATTGACATAAAAGATCTGGGACCATC